AACATCCCATAGTGCTTGTTTCCCAGACTTTAACATTTATTTGCTAAATGGGAGGGACAGCTATCTCCTTGGCTTTTTGGAAACCCCCACCCCTCCCCAGATGTCCCTGGTCAGCTTGCAATCCAGCAAACATGGCATGTGTTTAACTCACACTGAGATCAGTGAGAGTTTAATTTGGAATAAATACTGAATTTGATTTAATCAAATTATTTTCAAATATTGAAATGCTGAAATGTGAATCTGACGCATTGATTGCATAAGCTGGTGGAAATAGATTCCTTAGAATGCGACAAATCTGAGCACTTTTTTATTATATTATAATAAACCATGTAGTAAGTGGGTAGGAAGAAACATTTTCCTCTTCTTTTATGAAGCCTGAATTCTGTTGTGGCATATACTGGGACTAGCTGTTCCAGAGCCAAACTTCAGCACTTTATTTGTATATACAGGGTGTACCAGAAGTCAGTGGCCATAGTTTTTATTAATATGTTTTTTCCAGAGTAAATATTACTGTAATTAGGAATGTTCCAAAGTCATACATCAAATGAGTGAGTTTGTCTATGGGGCCTGATGTAAGGTATACTCTATATACAGTATCTAGGAAAAGAGGAAGCAGGGGTTTTTTGTTTTTGTTTTTAAAATACAAACAAGTCTTGGCTTTCTTTCTTTGCCTTATAATTCTTCCCATTTAGCATTGGAATGGGAAGGGCTTGTCTGCATCAAATCTTGCAGTATGGAGTACATATATGTTCAGTATTCTGATTAGTATCCACCCTCAAAATTACCTTGCCATTATCTTTCTTCCTCATTAAAATGTGGTGCTATCTGACAACTCCATATTCTATGACTCACAGTTCCTTTTGGGCTGAACTGTTTTGAGATGAAGAGGAGCAAGATGTGAGAAAGAAAAATTCCCCATAAATATTGAACATTGGGGTATTAGTTATCAGACAGACAGACAGACAGACAGACAGACAGACAGACAGACAGACAGACAGACAGACAGACAGACAGACAGACAGATAGATAGATAGATAGATAGATAGATAGATAGATAGATAGATAGATAGATAGACAGACTGACTGACTGACTGACTGACTGACTTTGTGTGGGAAGGGAAAGGAAGCTTGGAAATCCATCAGACACTGCCCTAAAACCATCTTGCATTGAATCTGTAAGTTCCCCACCCTGCTTTCCTCACTGAGGCATAGTGAAGTTCAGCCATGAAGCTGCACAAATTACGTTGACATACTTTTCTGCCAAGTCAAGGACATTGTAATGAGGTTGTGAGGAAGTGTCCATAATTCATGAAGCAGGCAGTGGATGCACTAAAATGTTTTATGTACTAAAAGTAAAACGTTTTAAAAAAACTAATTTGAAAACACTGGCAGTGATTTCTGTGAAATGCCATCTTATTCTGTTGGAGAAAAACTATACATACACATGTATTTTTCTTAGTTTTGACTTTTTCTCAAAATCCAAGTGTCAAGCCAGATTTGACTTCTTCTGGAGCCATGTGTACTAGATGGATTATTTCTGTAAGTTCAGATACATCTCTGGATTGAGGGGATTTTGCAAATATCTGCATATAACCGTAACTTCCTGGAAAACTAATATTGTGCTTTACCAACTTTTGCAGAAATGGGGAAGGCTGTGAAAATACCTTTTAAAAAGAATATGCATAAGTTTTGTTTTGTTTTAAAGAACGTTTGCAGTTTAGGTAGAGGAAGCAGCATTCTGTGGTTTATCATCTGCTTCTAGAAACGTAAATTACTTCCATAGTAACAATAATTTAGCCGTCTGCATTTCAGCTGAGACTAAAGCAGCTTGTATTCATTTATCATTCATATCATATATATATATACACATCCAAAATGTTCTTTTTTCCTCCTCTTCTGAAGTGGGGGTTTGTTTATACATGAGATTTTCTGAGTGATATCTTTATAAGCTCCAGGGGAAAGAAAGTCTCTAGTGTCTAATATTATGAGAAGATTGATGTAGGCAGATTTTGTCACATTTGTTTGACTTCTGAATCAAAAAGGAAGGAGGCACTACCAGCAAATCATGTTGGCAAGGCTGAAAGGAAATAGAATCACATTTAAGGGGGATAGAATTGAGCGGATGATGACTTTTAGTTGCTAATGGTGTCAGCAGAAAGTATTTTAAGTTTCAAAGAATCTGTGGCCTTGCTATATAAATTCTTTGAGCTGGTGCCATGAGGATTGCGAAATAAAAGTGGAAACCTATTAGCAAAATCCACCTGGCTTGAGTGTAGTGATGCACACGCTTAGCACCAAGGCACAGATAAGGCATAAGGAAGGATGCGGAAAGTAAAGAGACAAAGTATATGGTATTAGAAGTTTCTCAATTTATCACTATGCCATTGTGATCCTTCTAGTGCCACTGAACGTAAACTTGTAGGAATAGAATCATGGAAAAAGAAAAAACAAAAAGCAAATAATCTGTTGCTTAGAAGTTACAGCATCCTTCCCCTACTCCCCACCCCCACTCCCAACCAGAGAGTTATCAATACGGACTATAATAGAAGAATCATGGAGGAAGTAGATATCTCAGTTAAAAATTAGATGCATTGCCTAAGATGCTTGCCCTTAAACTAGATTTAATAGTTTTTCCTCCTTCAAATAAATAAATGTTATAGGCAATAGGAAAGCTAGTTCAAATAGAAGAGAACCAAGGTAAGAGGGGTATGAGAATTATAGAGAGTTAAAAAATAAGCCACAGTATGAAGAAAGCGCCTAGAGGGGAAATTATTATCTCACTTTATCACGCCAGGATATAAAGATTGCTAACATTGGTGAAGGATAAGCCCATTAAGGAACATAAACCAGAACAAATGGATCTGTCTTTGAGTACCAGCTCCTGGGGGGGGGGAAAACAACAGGGGCAGATTTACAGTAATGCCCTCATGCCTTGTTTGTTGTTGACTTCACAGAAGCATCTGTGTCTTGATCACTGCTTGACAAGAATGCTGGATTAGATAGTTCCTTTACTAATATAGTAAAGAGATTCTTAAAGAGAGCAAAACAAAACAAGGGTTTTGGAATTATTAGTTCAAGTCTGATTTGGGCAGCCACACAGAAATGTTGACTCAAGCCAATAAAAATTGAATGTTTTATAGAAGAAAAATACTGTGGCATCAAGCATCCTGTTCAAATTTATGGAAAGTCCCTTATGTCCCAGAGGAAAAAAGGTGTGATTGTGTGTGGGGGAAAAGAACATATCTTTAGATTTTGAGTTGTTCTATCTTGAGCAACCGGGGAGGATTTTGCTTTCATATCCGCACAATTGTTTTGTATATCTTATCTCTTTTATAGCCTTTGGCGAGGATAAGATTTGAGGGCTACAGGGAAGAAGGTGATGCAGTGATATCACCATACACTTTAACCAGTAGATTTTATACAATCAAAACCTTCAAAGATGCTGTCTGTTACCAGTGTATTTGCTCCTGAATGTCAGTGGCTAATCTAACAGTTTTCTGGAAGGTTTTATAACCCATGTGTGTTATCCAGCTTTGCAAAATAATTTACATGTTAAGGTAATTTCAAAATCAGCAATCAAGCAAGCTAGTTTAAAGAGTTGTGGTTTAAAAAGCTGTGGTTTTAAGAGCCATGGTGGCGCAGTGGTTAGAATACCCTATTGCAGACTAGTTCTGCGGCCTGCCAGCAGCTTGATTCTCACTGGCTCAGGGTTGACTCAGCCTTCCATCCTTCCAAGGTTGGTAAAATGAGGGTCCAGATTGTTGGGGGCAATATGCTGACTCTGTTAAACCGCTTAGAAAGGGCTGTAAAGCACTGTGAAGCGGTATATAAGTCTAGGTGCTGTTGCTAGTGCTGTTAAGATGCTGTTAGGTTACCTGCCTCTGTGGAGTTCTGCTGAACTAGTCTTATGATTAAACAGTCTCCCTTTTTTAAAAACTATTGGGTATAATTACAAGTATCAGATGACAATCCATTAGTTATATTATTTTTAACAATATAACTATCATATTATAGGGGCACCAATAGGATTCTCTGGCTTTAGAAGCTTATAGGGTTACTCTGTAATTTGAGGTTAACTTGCAATTATCTCAGGTTAAATCCTGTCTGTACTTTTTGATACAATAAAAAAAATTATTTGGTATGAAGTTACAGCGATTTGTAATCAGATTATAGTTGAATGAAGGAATCTTTTTTCTTATCTTTGTTCTTTGAATAATAGCTGCTGAGCATCAGGCAAGTTTTGTTCTGAGTGAGAAAAAAAGTCAAAGGTCATCTAATTTGCACACAATACCTGTGTTTATTGTAATGAGTGAGGTCTCATTTGAGATCAATTGAATCATTTAAACAGAAATAATTTTTAATAGGGTCGTAGGTGAAATATGTGCAACTTTAAATGGCCCTTCTTGTCTCTCAGAAAACCCTTTTTTCTTAACATACCTGAATATTAAACTATTTCGTATTTAGGACATTATACCCTTTATTCTGCTCATGTTAGGTCTTTCAGAAGACATTTCCTGCTTGTCAAAAAAAGTCACTGACAGTAATTTCAAGGCAGACTCTTAATTTTATGTAGTAATACTTGATAGTTTACAAGAGATGCAGAGAGCCAGTAATGAACACCATTTTTATGTTGAGTGTAATTTGGCTTCTGCAACGTGATCTGATGTGCTAAATACTTTCTTCGTTCTAGTATATCAGGATTGTAGTGTGGAAAGGATAACTTCGAAAACATGTGTAAAAGGTCCTTTTATCATCTTCCTCAGTCTGGTATTTTGCATATGTTTTGAGCCTCAACCCCAGGATTTATTATAAACCTAAATTTCTCCATTCCAAAACAGTTGTGTATATATTGGATAAAGGAACTCAACACTTACTTTATTTAGTGTTTTTTTCCGCTAAATATACCTATTGATAGTTTCAATATACCACCTACATGTTTATAATAGGCTTATTTTATCTCAAAATCTGTCTTTTACATCAAAGCTTGTTTTCTTCCATAGGATAATACCTCTGCTAGATCATTCTTCATCACAGACTTTTCCAAGGAACCTGTCCGGCTCTGAATGTTCAGATGCTTCCAGAACATATTCCCAGAGAGTATGTCGCTATGATCTAGATGAAATTGATGCATGCTGGTTGGAACTTTTCAACATGGAGCTCAAAGAAATGGGTAGGTGTTCGTTCATGAGTGTGTATATGTTTTAATTTCTAATTTAAATTTTATCTCTCTTTTTATCCAAGCCAAAGCTACATAGCTAAGATTATATATAGGAGAAACCTTAATGAACTAATAGTTGAAAGTTGAGCAGCATAAAAGGTTAATTCACTCACCATCATTGCCCAAGAAATAGCAGGAGGGTATATCTGAGATGATGAAGGATGAATAGATAGGAGTTGGGTCTTTTCCCCCAGGGTATTGGGACTCAACTTAGGCAGCTTTCTTTTTCACAAAATGGTTGGTATATGAAACACAACCAGTAACAAAGCACCAATTTACTGGCATGCAACCTTCCATAGCCTTTATTCTTTGTGACAGAATATCTAACAGACTCTGGAAATGCAGAGAAGTGAGCATGACTGTTAAAGGAGGAAGCAAGGCAGTTCCAGAAATGATTTCTTAGTTTTTGAAGGGTGGGGGACATGAGAGACACTTAAGAAAGTCACATTAAGTATAAACTGAGCTGGAAAATGACTTTCACGGGCTGTCAAGATCTTTTATATTACCATACTGGCAATAACAATTATTGACTAGAAATCCAAATGATTCTTGTTCCCTGAGTTTGCCAGCCATGCGGGGCTTGATGCTCTTGGAAGGTGCTGCCTATTTATTATCCAAGCTTATTTGGGTTGGGTTTCTTTCTGAAAAGATGGGACTCTGAGCTTCTGCAGTTCCTAGTTTTCATTTTTTAAGAATGGGACAAGGCAAGGGAGTCACACTGTTAGCTAGAGTTTTCCACAACACAAGTGCCAGTTATGTTAACCATTTACAAGCATCTACAGTTGCAGCCCTGAAGAGAGTGCAAAGCAGAGTATCTGAGAAGGTGTGAGAAAGGTGAGGGAAAAGTGCTGGATTTAAACTGGAGTGGGTATCAACAAGGGCTGCTCTCTCATGTGGACAAAGGGCAGTTAGCCACACTAAGTGGCTCCATTCTCATATGCAGTCAAGCTTCTTATCTAATTACGCCTTGGTGGATGTCTGAGTAGCTTCTGCCAAGTTTAAACGGGAACCTGACAAAGGGCATTTTGGGAAAGGTAGACAATTCTGGAGAGCAGAACTTTACTAAGAAAGTGTAAAAAAAATAAGTCATGTGGGACAGAGAGACTGACTGGTGTCTTTGGGCATACTGAGATCATTGGAAATACTGCTGTTAAATCATATATTTCATTTTTTCTATTCTGTGGTGAAATTAAANAAGTTAAGGTAAGGAAATTCCAGTCCTGGTAGGATTGTAAGGTCTAGGCAGATGAGTTTGGGTCAAGAAGGTGGAAGTTGTAGGAGGAGGAGAAATCCTGTGACTTTAGCTGTAAACCTAAGCTTATATCTCTACAATTTTTTTACTGCTTGAGAAGCGTAACATTGAATAGAATTATGTTCTTTCTGATTTTGGGCAAGACTTCAGTAACAAGGTCAACACAATCCCAAATATACAAATCTCCATATATGTTACCAAGGCAACATCACAGGTCAGGACATTGTTTTTTTTATTATTATTACCATTATTCAAGAGATGCTTCAATACCATGCAAACTGGAAATCTGATTCTGCCTTCAGAAACCCTTTTTGTTTCCTTTTAGCCTCTTTTTGCACTGGGAAAGAAAAGTTGTTGATTTCACCTCTGAGCTGTTCTGTCTGTATTTGCTCATACATCTCTGAAGTGGAACGGTGCTCTGGCTGCCAATTCTTTCAAAGCTGCCTCGGCCATTTACCAAATACATCAAACAAAATCTGCAGGGAATCATACCACATCTCAGCTTCAGAGCTGTTTCTTATTTTCATGGCTCAGCCTTGAAGGAAGCCCTAGCCTCCTTACTAAGCTACTTCCCAATCCTACAGTCATACTCCTTAGAAAAAGTGGCTTGAGGAAGTTGCCATTATGCACACATCACACTTGGTTGTATAAAATATGATAAACCTAACTGTTTGTGTATACTACATTTTTACTTCCTGCCCTGTGATTCTATGTACATTTAGAATTGAGTAAGTTCTAGTGAAGACTCTAAGGATTGCTTTCAAGAACATTCATATACAGTTAGTTCTTGACTTACAACAGCAGTTTGGACTGGAATTTCTGTCACTAAGTGATGCAGTTGTTAGGTGAAACATCATGTGACCACACCACTTAGTGACAGCAGTTCTAATAGTCCCAATTGCAGTCGTTAGGCCAGGACCTCATATTTCTCTTGCTCCACCCCATTTATGTTCGCTTCAACTCCCCCAACCCGTCTATCTCCCCCCATCTCTGCCTTTCCCCCCCTTATTAATAAAATGTTTATTTAAACGCTCAGAAATCCAGAAGAAACTCTTTGTCGTGTTTGTATGCTGACAATTAGCAACTCCATATAGAAGAAAAAGTCAGTATAAAGAATTGCCAGTTGAACATTTAACTTGTTTGAAGTTTTATTGGTAAGCACTGCATGCAAAAATAAAGTTGTTCTCAAGTAATCTGGATCAAATATTGAATTGCTCTCATGTATAGTCAGTGGGAGCTTTTTTGCTATAATCAAAGGCTGGGCTATAAATCTTCATTTATATTTTAAATCTGGATGTCTTCTTCATGTAATCCAATTTGTCTGTCATTATAAATAGTATGTTTGGAACAGCTTGAAAAGAAAAGCCTTTATTGTTTGGCAGCTCTGTCTATCAGTTATATATCATATCATATCATATCACAATCTACCCATAATCTGCAGGAGGCACCAATATATTTGACAATGAGTACTTGTAATATGAGGTGAACCTGCTTATAGACGATTTTAAGTTATTTCTAAGTTTAAATGTTAACAAGGTGATTGTTTTACCTAGTTGCTTCAGAGAAATAAAGGAGAAAGACAAAAGAATTTCTGAACAAAAAAAGGGGTAGGTGGTGACAGAAGAAAAATACATACTTTCCAGGTTTAATGGGATCTCACTTTAAGTGTGAAGAAGAGAAAGAACACACACATCAGAAAGGATATATTATACTGATATAGCCCTTTCCCTACTTACTCCATAATAAAGCCTCTTTTTTGTTAAAAAAAAGTATGCTGGTCAAAAATTGGGAAAGTACTGGTTTTCCCAGCAGTCTTACTACCCAGATCTAATACAAGATATATTAACTGATTAAGTCCTTCCAAGTTCTGATCCATTTTAAGACTCAGGCTGAGTCTTAATTCAACATTTTGCAAGCCCCAGTGGCCAAAACCAAATAAATCACATTATGACTTAATATGTTCAGTGAACTAGATCAAAAAGTCTTAGGCTACAGTCCAAATTCACTGGGACCTGACTTACTTTTTTGTAGGAAAAGGATTCTGTAGTATTGCTTTGCTAAGTAGTTATTGGTGATGCCATTAGTCACCGGAGAAGAAATCTGTTTAAAATAGTTCCAGAGGGATGCTCACAAGAACCCATTGAACATAGATTAATTAATGGTGTCAGTGTGATGTTGCTTCTTTCCTGTATAATCTAGTTTTGTAGCAAGAAAGTAATAAACATCCAACAAGAAAACTCAAGGGAGGCCAGAGCTTGAAAATACAAATAGTGGTTTGTCCTAGAATCCAGAGTCTCCAAAGGAGGCTCTTTAAAACGGACAACTGACTCAAGAAACTTGAGGAGCTAAATACACATAAATAAACCACAGTAGTGCTGATGAAGGGAAAGCTATTAAGCCCTTTGAGGTTTGTTTGATGGTAATAAAATAACTGGGCCACAGATTCAGCAAAAGATTTATAGTAGGTATGTTGGCAATTCTAATACAGGAATTTAACAAGCAGGCTGTCCTGATCTTTTTTCCTTAAAAATCCACTTTTACTTAACAAGGGATTGTATTATACAATAACACGATGCTATATATTAAGGTGTTATCCTTTCATATTTGATAAATTATGATCCTGTAATTAGAAGGATAAGGGAAATGGAAAGATTACAAGTTACACACAGGAGTTAGTCATAAAGCGATGTAAAAAGGCTCTGTGACATTGTACATTATCTTGAAACCTCATTGTTTAAATACAAATCAACTTGATTAAATTTCGAGGTCAATCTTGGAACAGAATCAAAGACTTTCACAACTTCTATAAATATTCAGTTGCCTGGTCCAAGGCCTGGAAAACCTGTTATGACATCAGAATAATTAAGTTAGTAATAACTTAAGGGTAAAGATAGCTGGATATCTTTAGGTATTTGAGGGCATGGGTTATCTTGTATCTACAGAACCATTTGCTTAATTTATTATTGTATATGTATGGAATGTAAATTCTGTACCAACCACTTTTAAAATCATGCTTATATAATCCTGATCTTGATGTGATAAGACTTTGTTTCTGTAACCTGTATAAATTATACATCTGCGTAATTTATATTGCAACATAACTTGTGTTTACAATGTGGTAATGGAAAAGAATGAGTTATTTTCCTACTCTTTCATATCTAGGATTTTTAAAAATCATCACTCTCACCAGATTTCACCTTATATGTAATTCCAAGCATATTCAAAGCCATAAGAATCAATAACAACCTCTCCTTAAAAATGAAAAGGGCAATTTTCAGGAAGCTGAATTCTCCACCTAAACTATGTTGTACAGTTTCTTTGCTGCATGGCAATAGAATCATCACTTACACCACTATAGATACGAGTCTGATTATATTGGCTGATTGTCTTATAAAATTATTTGTGTTTGAAATGTCACCAAATTTAGCCAGTTTATTTAGTGTGCTATATCCATAACTATCACTGGTTCTCATATACAATATATTTCAGATTTTGAGATGTGAATTTCCTTCTCAGTGTACTTTATATTTTGGTACTCACAGTATAGGCTTCCACACATTCAATCTTCTTTCAGAAAGATACAGAAATGCTACCTGCCTGTATTTGATGCTTTACACTGGAATCCGTAGCTGGCTGACCGGCCGTACTCAGCGTGTGGTCCTCAATGGAACCGCATCTACATGGAGGGAAGTGTGTAGTG